GCTTGCTCAGATATCACCGATCGTACCCGGTTTTACCACCGGAAATCGTATCTGATGTTGTCTGTTTTTAGAGCTTGACGTGTTTAGATTGTACAACCTCTCTGGCTTGTCAAGATCTAGACTGTGGTGCTGAGAGATTATTATTATTCTTTCGCATGTTGAGCTGTCTGTGCTCTCCATTTGTTTAGAGCTGATGAGATTTTTATAGCTCGTGTTCTTCTTTGAACTCTGAATCAATGGAAAGAATTGCTCTAGTCGGAGACAAGGGATCACTCACCCCACTCTTCCATTTTATTTCACATTCCTCTTTACATTCTTCTGGTTTGTTGACTTTTTGTTCTCTCTATTGTTTTCCCAGGAAGTGGTAAAAGCTCCAGGAGGGGTCATGCATGCGTGTGTACTGATGTACTGTATATATTTCTGCCTTGGCTTAGTGTCAGCGAAGCCTTGCATGGATGTTGTGATTGTCGGAACACTTTTCCTCTGAGGGCATCTCAATCGTCTCACATCACATGCTACTTGCATGAAACATTTTCAATTTTAATTTAGTGATAAAGGTCATTTTTCATTAAAAGTTTAAAAGTTTTCTTTTCTTTGTTTTTCTTCAGAAAATATATTATTTTCTTTACAAGAAGAAAATTTACTGAAAGTAAATTTTAGTAAGCTTAATTTTATGGGCACATTTGTTTACTTTTGCATGATAAGCAATCTTGATTAAGTGTTGAGTCGCCACAAATCTGGGTCCTGAATCAAAGACAGTTGAGAACCACTGCTGTAAACATCAGTCTTTATCTAGATAACTCCAGTATTTTCTTTTCTTAAAGAAGGGGTGATTTAGAAGTGCTTAATCTGCAAAAAGACACTGAGATTCACATTTAGCATGCTGGCCTGGGCCAGAAGAGTTGGAGCTCCAAGAACTTGTTTTTATCAACCAACAGCTGATATCTCAAAATGAGGCTTTTTGTGGTACTCTGTCGGCCTTGTCCTGGGAATTGCCTGTTTGAAGTGAAGGAAAAGAAGAAACACAAATGCTATTTGGTTAGGAGGTGGGAGGATGGGTCAATTTAAGTTGGAATGGACATGAATGAAACAGACTTGACTGAAGGTTTTGAAGCACACAGGAAAGATGCCCATTTTTTTAATCTCCTGAAATATGCAGATTATCAGTTTGTTGTTTGTTCTATCCATCAACACCAGAGTTAAAAAGGGAAAGAACATGCCCTAGGCTCTTGATGCTTAGCAAAGAGACTTATGTTATGACCAAAGAGTTTTATTTTCCCATAACTCTCCCAAGCTTTTTTGGGCGGCTCGTTGCATCCTTGAATGATTAGGAGCAGGAAAGATAAGACACTGATACTGTCCACATACACTTTTTTTTTTCTCACCCTCATTGAATTTCGTAGGGTTCCATGTGCCATCTTGATCTCTCTGCCGGTGTTGCCTTTCTCCTTTAAGCGCTTTAAGGTCCAAGCCATCTCAAAAGCATATATATCTGATATCGAAATCCTCCTCGGGTTTAATTCTTTGAGATGGAGAGGAACACCCGAGGGAGCATCTGATTGATATTATTAGTCATATTAACCTGCATTGCTTAGATGAACAGTTCTGTGAATGTAGGTGTTGCTGTTCCCACTAGTCTTGTATCACTTCCCTTAAGCAAAAAGAAAAAAGAAAAATAGCACCAATCGCCTGAAACCTTGACATGTATATCAACTTTAGGAGCCAGTTTGGCAGGCTCACCGGGGTTTCACACAAGATGCTTACCATAGCCTATTATTCTTGTAGGTGGGATAAAATAACATTTGTGATAATTAGTTTGTATCTTGGATACAGTGACCTGAGTTTGGGGTTTAAATGGGTTTAAATGCTCTGTTTGTTGTTTCAATCAGTGTTTATGATCATGTTTGTAACTTGAATGGAAGTTATTTCAAAGCAAGTATGTGGAGGAAGTTTTACCTAGTTTTACTAATCTACCTTCTTTCTTTGCTGTGACAGATTGTACCGTCGTTTCTACGGTGCAGTTAGTTTTGACTGCCGATGGAGGAAAAATGTATTGTGAATAACTGGAGAGGAGACTTGTGAAGTGGAAGAAAGTAAGAGGTAGATCCATCAATCACATACTGGGGGTGCTGATGACAGTTTTGTGGCTGGCAGACACTGTAATTGCATATCATTACCTGCAGAAGCACAGCAAGCTCCTGTTTGAGGACCTAGCTATCTGTTAGTGGAGCCTGCAATGACATCAGCTGGTAAATCTGTCTTCTCTAATGCATTTCTGCTAATTTAACACATCTAACAACGCACTCTGACGATAGACAAATGCTCTCGATGTGAGGGATCACGGTGAGGCTATTTTAGAGTTGAGTTTGTTTTTCTGTATGGTTTGCTTAAGCACTTGGGGTCATAGGATAGTTGTCGGATCCATTTTGTGTGTATTTTATGGTCCTGTGGCAGCCTATGGCAGTCTCTCACAGACAGGCGAAGAGGCTGCGGGGTCTATTCAGGGCACAGAGTGAGAGCTGATGGATTCCCGTTTTCTTGTTTACAGCTGCACCAACAGATAGCTAGCGTGTTCACCAGGCCCCCTCTCTTGACGTCAAATTCCTCCCAGATTAAGAAACAGTGCTCTGTCTTCGCGTCTAGTGGATTTTGCATTCCTTGGACAATGACAAACAGATCTAGGCTGGATTCTTCCTTTGCCTCCTGTCTCTTAAATTAAAACAGAATGGTTGTGTCGTTGCTCCAACAAAAGGAGGGTTGAGTGAACTTGTTTTCTTGGCATGTTAACAGTGAGTGGGTATGGTTGCTCCAGCAACTGTAAAAGTGAATGAACACATAATGTTGACATCACTAAATGTTTCATATAATGAAGGTTTAAGTTAAAAATGTATCTCTAAAAAATGTTATAAAAGTATCTCACTTAATTTGATAGGTAATGAAAAAAGTGCTCAGTATATAATATAATAAATACAAATATGAAAATAATAAAATAAAATGTAAATAGTTCAAATAAATTTTAAATTAATTTACTTTACATGCAATCTAATATATTTAATCATTACCTATGGTTCGGACTGAGCAAATCAAGTATTTATTTTTTGAATAAAATAAATTTATTTAAATAAATTATTTAATTTACATCAAGCGTAGCGCCAGTTCTGGCAGGTCACATTAGTCAAGCTTGCATCAGCTTATTCTCAGCTGATCCACGTCTACCTATAGGAATACGACGCTTATCACTGTATACATATAGGTCCTTCAGTATTATCAGCAGCTATCGCGTTTCTCAGGAGCTTATTACCATCCTTTTGTTTAGCCTAGGGGGGGTTATTGCTGCTCTCCCTGCTCTTATCCCCATGCTAGGCTGCATGGATGCGCAGGGAGTTCTCGCACGTAACAGAACCATATCGCCAATCCTAACTGTATGCTAATTGTCAATCATATTTGACGATAGTGGTCCTTTAATTACATATTTGGACTGTAAATCGGTTAATATAGTGTATAATATTCTCAGATTAGAAACTGCTTTCAGACCAGTTGAATGACATCAAACTAACTTGAGTTAGTGTATTGAGTTAAACTATGTTGGTTCTGTTTTGTTTAGCCTAGGGGGGGTTATTGCTGCTCTCCCTGCTCTTATCCCCATGCTAGGCTGCATGGATGCGCAGGGAGTTCTCGCCCGTAACAGAACCATATCGCCAATCCTAACTGTATGCTAATTGTCAATCATATTTGACGATAGTGGTCCTTTAATTACATATTTGGACTGTAAATCGGTTAATATAGTGTATAATATTCTCAGATTAGAAACTGCTTTCAGACCAGTTGAATGACATCAAACTAACTTGAGTCCACAATAGAAGGTCTACAATGAAAATGTCCTTTAAAAAAAGTGTTTGAGCTTTGAATAGAGTTTTTGGTAATATCCAGAATGCTTGTTCTGTTCTGATTCTTTTTGAAGGATGTCATTCATCAGTTTGATTTGGCCTTTGTATACACCCTATTTATTCACTTCTTCCTTTGTGTGAACATAATTGTGCAAACAGAAAATATTATAATAAATCTTATTTTAGTCACTTGTCATCTTAGCTTTGCAAAATAAACGCTGACAGAATGATCAGGTCTTATATCATAATGAAGAGGTTTATTTTGTGGTAATTACCTGCTGACTGTACATTATCCCACTTTAAATTATTTTCATTATGTGAGAAAAATGAGATCGCTGAATGCATCACAAGAGGCACAAAACTAGCAGTGTTATTCATCCATCATAGCAGTTATTATACTAAAATATTTGACCTCAGAATGCAGAGATAGACCAATCACAATTGAGTATTTCAGAGAGTTGTGTAAGAATATTAAATAACAGTCTTCAGTGCTAATTTTCAGCCACTCATCCAGTGTTTAGAGATGTTTGCAGTCTAAAATACAGGTTATGGAGGCAAAGTGGCACATTATATGCTGTTCTCAAAGGAATGAAGGATGAATTCATAAAACTCTCCCACCAGTAGAGGCTGTAAATAGTTTCAGCGTTCAGTCAGTCTTGTTATTACAGTTGATTTCAAAAACCAAGAAGCCCCTGGCACTGCTTACATTCATGCCTGAACTATGATGAGGCTTCTTTATCATTTGCTGAAACGCTTTGGTATTTTTCAGACATTAAACCGCCTTTGAGTGGTGTCATATTTGGCAGACATTTGAAGCCTTTGTTCTGGCCTTTTTGCATATTGGCCACATATAATTGATAACGTACATGTTCAGTACAGTAGACGTGTCACAGACTGTCATTAATGCAATGCTGATTTGCATTTAAATAATTTTCCGTAGAAATATGTTTCCTCATGCGTAAACGTGGATTTGTTTAAACAAACGGGCAGTCCCAAATGCGATTGTTTCATGATTAGCTTAACATGTCAAACCCTCGCTGTTTCAATATTACCTGTTCTAAATGTGTTTTGATGTTTAACTGATTTGACCATAAAATGTTTTTTCTTTTGCAGGTGGGAATGTTCGTCTGGCGGTGCACTTCATGAAACGACATGTCAACTTGAGATGCATTGTCAGGCAGCACTACAGAGGTAGTTTATTTCCTCTCCTCCTAGACTAAAGAAAACTGATTTGAGTATTTTTTTCCACATTAAGTTGCCTCATGAAACAGATGATTATATCAGAAGCACCTGTGTTGTTATTAGTTCATACAGCTGTCGGGCTCAGTCGGAGGTCACTGTCCGGATCGTTTTTATTTTGGAAAAAGTCGACTGAAATATGTTCACTTAGCTGGCAACTCAGAAAATGGTTCAAAATACGTTTTGTGCTGAACTTGTGGTTTCAATTCAAATTTATACAGATCTAAGAGAAACTTCTTTGAAGAAACCACCCATTTTATCTGGCTAGACAGTAAGAGACGAATGCACTCCGTCCTAATAGAGGCAGAGCTCAAAAATTTGAGACTGAAGCCAAGTCCACCCGAGCCAGGCTTGACAGCAGCTCACAGGGAAAATGTGGTTTGCTTATCATAGTAAACAAGTTTAGTCTAAAGTTTCACTGTATTTTTAGAGGTACAGTATGGCATGTCAGACTCTGTGAAGCAAGTTACAATCATCATTGTGCATTATTTATGTTTAACTCAAAGAAATACAAACAAAGTAGGAGTCATATTACAGACTAATATGACTAATAAACTATAGGTTATTTTAAGTGATCGAGGAAAAACAAAAAGAAGAAAATGTAGCTGACCAGCAATTTGCTTGGCCTTCATTTTTCAAGCTAAATTTGGCCAAGTTTGAAGGAAATAAACCGGAAAATACATCAAACAATGTGGTTTGTTTTACTTGTATCGAATTACATATTTGAAACTTTATTGACTGAGGGGCAATGGGGACGTGAAGTCGCCAAGTGTTGACATTCAACTTTATGGCAACTTTGCCATTTTCTTAAAAACAACAAATAAAGCTTTTTCAACAGTATTCAATATTTCCCACGAAGAGGGCATTGAGGTCAGTTTATACTGTTGATGCTCCTGGAAATTCATCTTAGTCATCTTTGTTTTACTTCAAATGTCTGTGAGAATTTAATATAAATATCATGCATATGTTGACCTCCCTTTCCCATTTCACATAGAAAATTTACTGTATATTTTGCTAAATGGTTTCCACATCACTTTAGCTGCAGCTCCATCAGTATTTTTTTTGACCTTCACAGAGTTGCGTGTGTTTCCTGAGCGTGTTGTAGTGTGTGCCAGTCCTCCAGAGAATTCTGCACTTCCCAGTGGAAATCTGAACCTGGATGTGGTAAGAGCTGCTTATGTTATGAAATAATGTTTATAATCAGTGTTGGATAAGCTACTTTGTAACTAGCTTGCCAAGCTACAGTTTACTTAATAAATGTAGTTAAGCTACAGTAAAATGACCCTTTTTAAAAATAGTTGGCTACACTATAAGTTAACAAAAGTGTCTAACTATTATTGAGGGGGTAAACTGATTTTATCCTGTGCACGGTCTGTGGGCTTGCCTGAGATGGTGACTAGTTATTTTCCAGCTCTTCATATTATATATAACATGTGTCTTTAATGTATGGTGCTTCCCAATCTTGAACCCATTCTCTGCAAATGCCATTAATTGGGTTCTGGACTCTGGATGTAGTTAACTCCTATGTGTTTTGTTCTCCCCTCTCGCTTATTATGGAGTGACAAATGAGTAGTTGGAAAGGGTTGATTGGTGAGGCTCTATACTGCTCTCTGAGGTGGACCACTAAATGCCTTTGGCCTAAGACATAGAGCTCTGGGTTCTACACACCAGTGAGTGCAGCATGTAAATATGACCACTGAGCGCATACATTGACAGTTTTATATCAAGGTGTTTTTCAACGCCAAGAACCCCCTTTTCTAAAATCTAAAGGCATCTGTGTATTTGAAGAACAATGTAAACTTTGTGAAGAAAAATAGTATGTACACGCTGTTTAAATATTGGCAATTGTGTTGTAATTTTACTAAAGTACAAAGTACTAAAAATATATTAAAATACTGTTTTGAAAACACAAGATTTCTGACCCATCTATAGAAAACGCTCCTGATATGAAATTCTGTAACTGTGTGTGTGTGTATATACAAATGCTGGTGGAGGTAAAATAATGCGCAAGTAAGGGTCCATCCATGGTATCCAGGCTGCCTAGCAGCGTGAATAAAATCGCGCTGCGCAAAGGCAGTATGGGGAAACCCAGGCTAGGCTACAGCATTAGCAGATATACTTTTTTTATCCTTAAGAAATTTTTAGTTATAATTGTATTTATTTAATGATGACAGAGACACAATTTGTTCAGTAAACCACTGTTTAATAAAAAAAGAAGCAATTTTAGGTTTAGTTTTCTCATGTTTTATGACCTCTAGTTTCTGTTTTATTCTGTTGCCCTCATCTAGCTAGTTTTGAAAACAAGAATGCATCTTTCTTTTGGGTATTCCTCTAAGAAACACATCTGGTCAGGTGAAGCTGAGATCAGCCTAATTAAACTGGGCTTATTTAAAGGGCATTCCACTTTAAAGGTATAGTTCACCCAAAAATGATTTGTAAATTGTTATCATTATTTTCTTACCCTCGTGTTTTTCCAAACCTGTATGACTTAGTTTCTTCTGTGGAACATAAAAGAAGATATTTTGAAGAATGTTGGTAACCAAACTGTTCTGGTTAACCTTTACTTCCATTGTAAGGACAAAAAACATTTCTCAAAATATCTTCTCTCTATGTTCAACGGAAGAAAGTCAGTCATACAGGTTTGGAACAACATGAATATATATATTATTATTTTTTGGGGTGAAATATCCCTTTAATGTTCATCCATTATTCTTTTAAGACCAATTTGTTGAGTGGTCATTCAGGGAATGCACTGATGAGTTGATTGAAAATATGTAGTTTTATACATCCCTAGATGTTATCGAGTTATTCATCTTCAAGCTGCAGTAGAAAATTGAATCCAGGATTCGCATTCTGAAATCATAAGTTGCATCACTGGTACACTATGTATTTTGCCACGGCAACAAGACCACAGTTTTGCTTGGCTCACACACATGCCCTCTTACTCACCCACTTTTATGGCAACAGTTGTGTGTGGGTATGATTTGGTTTAACAGGATACTCAGCATTAGGATCTCCGGAGCCACAAATGTCTAAGTGAAAGTGTCTTTGTTGGACTTCCTGCTGTGTGTCCCGAGTAATCATCTGTCATCATCTTCGCCCCAATCAGATCTTCTTCAAATCTTTTCATGTCCACTTCTTCCCTCTGAGACTCTTGGTTGATTCTACTCCATCTCCCAATAGAATCCTGGGAAATCTGCACTGAGCCGCCCACCTTGGGTGGACATCAAGGACGAAGACAGTCTCCCATCTATCCTGCCATTAATGTCGGTACTTTTTTGAGTTGAATCATTTGCCGTTGTTTTTCTTTGAGACCTTTTCTTTTTAGACATTTTTTCCTGCGTTGCTTTGGCTTTCAATAAAAGCATGAATTGTAATAATTCGAGTGAAGTTATCCAGTTCGACAGTGAAAAGTTCACATTGTGTAACCGCTTTTCCAGTTCATGGAAGCAAGGGCCCTTGTTTTTGCATTCCCCTCCTCAGGATGTGGTTCTCTGTGCTTGTATATGCTGCGAGGAAGGGTTAGCAGGAGCTTGCGGTAGTGCTCTTGCTATTTGGCAGATTGGAGGAAAGAGGCATCAGGAGAGTGAGTTGGAGTTTCTCTCATGACAAAACAATTATTTCAGTTGCTCCACTCTAATTTGTCAGTGGGAGCCTTTTCATACAGTTTCTTTCTTTCTCTTTTTAGCTTGAAGTTAGCCAGGAAAGTTATGTCTTAATAAGAATCTAAATAATCTTAATAAGAAATGCAGCTCGGCTGTATGAGTCACATGCGAAGGAGAATTTCTATTTGAAAATGATAATGGCTCAGTGAATTTGTTCTTCCAGTGTTGTCATATGTTTATGGTGAGTTTCTCTCACCGCAGAGCTTGACAGTGAGAGTCTGAATGACGCCACATGTTTTGAGGCAGTTTAGGAATTTGTCTGTGGTCCTTCCATTTGATTTAGTGCTCAGTTTGCAAAACAAAGTTTATATCAGCCGCTCAGAGCTGCCATAACACCTATCCAGAGGTCATTAGGTTAGGCTTTAAGAACGAGCGGTGATGTAACACGTGGTTTCTTGCAGCAAGAGAGAGCGTGAAAAAGATTTTTGGTACTATTTGGAAAGTCACCGGTTCAAACCCTGGAAGGGGTGTTTCATGAACTGGAAGGTGACTTGTATCCTCTGTCAAAGCAAGATTAACGGTTCCTTGAGTGATTCACATCCTGTGCTGTGGTCTGATGTTGGTCAAGCGGGAAGGATCCTTCATTGTTGCGTAGCAAAAAAGCGTTGCGGGTGCACAGTCAGCACTGCATCATGTCATCACAACTGAGACGGCAGACATATCTTCCTTTACCTTTTAATGTACTGTCTGAAACACCTTGAGAAGGTGTCTAGCTTAAATTGAGTATGTATTTGTTCACACATATTGTACTATACACCACCTTTTAAAAAAATAGGCTCTGTAAGATTTTTTGAAAGATTTATTTCTTTATTAAGTCTCTTACCCTCACCAAGCCTGACCAAAAATACAATAAAAATATAATATTGTGAAACATTATCACAGTTAAAATAACTCTTTTCTATTCTATTCTCTTTTAAAATGTAATTTATTCCTATTATTGCAAAGCTGAATTTCCAGTCTAATAAGCTGATTTGGTGCTCAAGAAACATTTCTTATTATTATCAATGTTGAAAACAGGTGTCTTGCTTAATGTTTAAATAGAAACTGATCAATTTTTCAGGATTCTTCGAGGGATAGAAAATACAAATCAACAGCATTTACTTGAAATAGAAGTCTTTTGTTACAAATGTCAGTTTTGATCTATTTAAAGCATCCTTGCTGGATATATATATATATATATATATATATATATATATATATATATATATATATTTTATTTTATATATATATATAGATATTTTGTATATAAGATATTTTGAAAAATGTCTAATCTTTTTTTGTCTTTACAATAAAATCCATGGTGTTCAGCATGGGTGGCCAACGTCGGTCCTGGAGAGCCACATTCATGCAGAGTTTTACCAGTTGCACACTGATAAAAACTCACCTTTCTGTAGCTTTCTAGTAACTCTTCACACCATGTCACATCAGAGCCTGAGGGGACCCCGTCTGACCAGGTGTGTGAGCCGGCTGCACCATCCATTGCCGTGGAGTACGAGGGAATGGAAGTGTGCCCCACCCACCCTCCCGCCACTGAAAGTGAGTCAGCCATTCGGCCTTGCTGGGCTCCCTCAGACCATCGGCTCCACTTGGGTTGGACATCGTCACGCATTCGCTGCTCTCCGGCTTTACACCCCTTCGGCTTCGGCTAGCTCCACCCTCCCTCAGGCTCGACCTCTGCCCTCAGTTGCTCCAGCTTCACCTCTGCCGTCCATCTCGGGGGATCCGTCGCGGCTAAGCCGCGGCCGCCTAGGTCTTCTGTGTCTCTCCACTGCCTTGGCTCTCCATCTGCGTGGTGGGCTCCACCTCCATCGTTGCCTCCAGTCGTCCCCAGGGTGGCGTCGAGACACCATGGCTCCTCCCTCTAGTGACGCCGCCATGGACACAGTCCTGGCTGTGGCCTGGGTCTCCATCCGTTCGCCCCTGATCAAGGCCATCCACTGGTTGCTACCTACATCTACTATTCCCTGCTATTTGCTGCCTGCCCTACTCCCAGCCCTTCACCTGCTCCTCGTTCACCTCCAAAGCCCCCTCCCTCGCTCATCTCATCTGTTACGGCACGAGGTCACGCCTTCCTGGAGGGGGTGTACTGTCACGATTATGCTTAGTTTCACCCTCATGGACTCTTAGTTTGTTTATCTTCAGTCACATGTCTCCTTTGTTCTTAGTTTCCTGCCACTTTTTTGTCCCCTAGGCTACTCATTGCTTTCTAGTTTGTTACTCTAGTTACTCATTAGTTCCCTCGTTGGTATCACCTGTGTTTATTAAATCATCTTTGTGTTCTCTCAGTATATATTCTGACTGTTTTAGGGGGCTTTCACACTGGCAGTTTAGTTCGGAACAGGGAACGGTTCGCATGAAAAATCGCTATTGTAAACGCTGTCATGGGACCCGGGTGCGCACTGGGGTACCGAACCCGAGACTACCTGGAGGAGGTGGTCTGAGTTTGGTTGCTCCCGAACCGTGCCGCGGTTCGCGTGAATGTGAAAACAGCACGGACTC